TGCTGCTGCTGCTACTGCTGTTGCTGCTGCTGCTACTGCTGCTGTTATTGTTGCTGTCACTGCTACTACTGCTACTGCTGCTACTGCTGTTGCTGCTCATGCTACTGCTGCTGCTGCTCTTTATATTGCTCGCAAACCGCTCGTGAATAATTCATAATAACCTATATTTGCAGCTGTGAATGAAATGTGCAGCGTTCTACCTCAACCATGTGATTTTGCATGCGCATCGAAGCATCTGACACAAAATAATGTGAAAGCGTGCCATTGCTACGTGTCTATTCTATTTGAACGTGTTTTGGAATTCATGATTATGTCTGTGATGATCAAAAGACATCATTTGCGCATATATATATATATTACTATTTGTCATACATACAGTAACTCAATCAAGCATTTTTTTTCATTTAAACGTATGCTTCTCTCTGTCGCATGAAGCTGACTGCTCTGTCACAATCACGTGATAAAATAATCACCCGCGATACGTTCTGACAACGTAAAGTCACGTGTCACCCGCGGACCAACTGGTTTCAGTAGGACAGGGCCGTAGGCTGAGCAAATTCCTAGGGGGGGGGGCACAATTTCATGACTAAACTGTGTAATGATGAGCGACGGGCGCAGCTCTTGATCAACGTCCATAGTATGGTAGGGGGTAGGTCTGAGACAAGGCTTTCACGGATAAGTGACCAAAAAATCACGTTAGGGTTATTTACAATTATTTGCTAAGCTTATTTTTTAATTTTGCTTCAAAATATAGGGGGCGCAGCTGCCCCCTTGCCCCCCCCCCCACAGGCTACGCCCTGTAGGAACACATTTGTCGAACGCGCACATACGAGGTATCTCACTAATTCACATACGAGGAGCAATTACAATGTCGGACAGCGATATATTTGAACTATAAACTCAAGTCGCGTGTTGTTGAACATTGAGTCGGCAGTTTAAGGGTTGTGTTCCCCGCGGTATAACACCGCATACCAGCGATTTCGCCTTCGCTATCCAGAGGTTTAACTTAGTGTAAACATCAGTGGGCCTTGCACCCGTTCCCCAAATAAAATCAGCAGCAGGCTTCGCGCCGGCTTCGCGATACCTGCAGTGCTGGTCGTGGCCCGGAGTCGCTCTCGAGCCGCTACCCTGATGCGCGTACTCCATCGCCGCCGGTGCGTAGCCTTGCGCGTGCGGGGGCAGGCGCTCGAAGCTGCCAGGGTACGCGCCGGTCTGCGCCGGGTACGCGTACACGGTCTCGTTAGTAGCCAAGCGGTTGTAGCAGCCCGCCTCGTAGCGGTCCATGCTGCCGCTGCGCGGGTAGGGCGCATGCGCGGGCACGGCCGCCATTGTTGTTTGCTGTGCGGTCATATGCGCATGAGGTGCGGGCGGCCATTCTGCCGTTCTATCGTGCAGCCTGCAAGTACAAACACAAATACTCACAGACAGAGTACACAACGAGGCACGCAATGCGAATCGATAGGTGCTATTTTAATTAAATTTTAGCTTCGTGATTGCTGTTTCTTTCTTTCTCTATTATTCACTCCTGATTAAACGTACCGCGTATTTGACTTTCCGTCATAACGTTGCCCTTCGTTAAAAAATTTAGTACAATTTCTCTCAGAACCGTGTCCTAAATACCGTCGGGGCTTTATACAAGACATCATCATCATCATCATCATCATCATCATCATCATCATCATCATCATCATCGTGGCAGTCATCATCAGCATCAACGTCATCATTACCATCAACATCATGATCGTCGTCATTATCATCATCATCATCATCATCATCATCATCATCCTAATCATCATCATCGAAATAGACATCGGTGCGAGTCTCGAATGGTAGCTCAGTATGAGAGATTATTTTCTATTTTTTATTTATCGTCGTTAGATCGTCTGCTGTGTGTGCTCACCTGTCCAGCGAGCCGCCGCGCAGCGTCTGCGTGTAGCCTGGCGGCGGCTTGTAGGCGGGAGGCTTCGGCGATACGGGCATGTCTATGCTCTCCTCCTCCGTCAGCGTCGATAGGGAGGCTCGCCGCAACCCTTTACTGCGCGGAAGGAACAACCAAGATTGGGTGGGGATCGTGTAGCGGATGAGGCGAACGTACAGCTGTGTTAAACGAACCTAGTTATGAAGAAGGGGAGCGCTGTTTTGTGAGCGAAATTAATGGGGGGGGGCATATATCTCAATGTCTATTAAATATATTATA